AAAAAAAAAAAAAAAAAGCAAAGGACACCAAAAACCAATATACAGAAACATAAACACAATCGATAAACACATCAAAATTGATCATTCTTGTTCATACTTAATATTGTACATAAAGTAACATTTTTCAACTGTAAAGTAAGTAAAAATTATGGCATCCAATAGTGTACAGATTAAGGTCTATACTATTTCCCACTAAAACATCTCTTTTAGAGATTCCAGGTCTGAAGAAGAAAATTACCCAATGAGCCTAGAATAGATTGCTTACCAAAAAGCGAAGAAGCTATCAATGACTATTAAAGTACTATCAAAAGGACTCCTAGTGCCCAAAATAAAATTTTTTGAACATTATAAAACATAAAGACAGTAAAGGACTAAAACATATCAAAGATGTTTAAGTCCAAAAGTTCATGATAAAACTTACAAACAGGAAAACAAAAATTCCATGAATCATCACCTTTACAAGTTACTAGGGCGTGAACTCATTATTCTTAAAATTAGGACAAAGAAAGGTAAATATTTTTCTGTCTTTCCTATATGAACTATATACCAGGGTTTCTAAATACTTAATAAAGGGCCAAGTTCTTGAGGGAAAAATTCAATGAATAAACATATAAAGAATAATACAATGTCACCAATTCTCTAAAAATAGAATGACTCCTCTGTTCCAGTAAAAAAGGGATACAGAAATTACCCTTTAAGACTATGTATTCTGGCTCGGCGCCTGTGGCTCAAGCAGCTAAGGTGCCAGCCACATAAACTTGAGCTGGTGGGTTCAAATCCTGCCAGGGCCTGCCAAATAACAATGATGTCTGCAACCAAAAAATAGCCAGGCATTGTAGCAAGCGCCTGTAGTCCCAGCTACTTAGGAGGCAGAGGCAGGAGAATCGCTTGACCTCAGGAGTTAGAGGTTGCTATGAGCTGTGATGCCACAGCACCCTACCCAGGGTGACAGCTTGAGACTCTGTCTCATTTAAAAAAAAAAAAAAAAAAAACAACTACGGGATTCTTTTTAATTTCTTTTACTTGTAAATTTTTAAAAACCTGAAAAACTTTTGTATTAAAACTATTAGTATCATTAGCAAGTTAATGCTTTTCAATCCTGTTTATCCTCCTTTCTGTTCATTGTTATGAATGTCAAAGCAGAATCCTGTAACAGAAGTTATAGTACATGCTAAATACTCTTTTTTCCTGTAAAAGCAGGTTCTAGTTCCCAATGGCTCCTATTTTCTAATGGAAAAAATATTACACCGGAATAATCACGAATATAAGAATAATATAAATTGTGTTTCTTAATTAATCTATCTGCATATCCTGAAGGAAAGGTGTCAAATTCAGTCTCATGAATGACCAAATCATCTGTACATAACTTTTTTTCCACTGGAAAAGCAGACTCGATATATACTATTAAAGCCCTCCAGAAAGTAAAAGGCCAGAAAGCTACAACACTCCTAGAATAGAATGTTGAAATAGAAATAGAATACTTGCCCATATTTTCCAAAGAGGGAAACTGTTGTTCCTCCTACAGGCACTGCTTTTCCTGGTCCATATACATCCCATATGGTCAGGGCCACTTGGGCATTCCTGGGCAGGTCAGGATATTTCACAGGCAGTTTTAGCCATTCATTCCAGCTATAGAAATAAAGTCAACATAAACAGATAAAGTTCTTTCTTTTAAACTAACAAATCATGGAAGAAGTTTTGGATAAGGTTCTAAAAAATTAGATTAGTACGCTAAAAAATAATGCATCAGTTACATCAATTTTGCTAAAAGGAACTTCAATTTTAAATATAGGAGACACGAAATTTTTTTTAAAGAAAGAGCTCATGAAAAATGCATGGCACTATTAAACCTTTACTCAAGAACTCAGACACCACCACCAAAACACAAGAGAATATGGTAATGGCTAATAAAAACCTCAGAAAACATTTCAACCTATTAGACCTTTGGAACCAAACCGTGATTAACCATTTTCAGAACATAAGTTTACATTATGAAGACAAAATAATGAAAAGTACATTCTACTTGAAAGCACTTCTGAGAATAAAGCAGAAAAAAGCAACCATAACCTGATAGAAATCAACATAGAATATCTTCTACCTATACCACAGAAGAAGTTCCCAGACCGCTCTAGACAGACATGTGACTTTTTACGTGAGATTTTTCTGTTCCTTAAGTTATTCCATTAATATTGGTAACATTTAGCTATTAGTGCCTTATGCTTTCAAACCACATCTGCATATATCACCTCACTAAGGAATGTTTGTTCTTGATAACACAGCTAATGACAGCACAGCTCTTCTTTTAGTATCTATTCATTTCTGTAGTTTTTTCCTGCACTTAAACTCCACATTGCATCCATTTGATAATTACAACTCTCTTAAAAACAGCAGATGGCTTTCAAAATCTCAAAAGAATACTATACAAACAATACACAAACTACTACCTAGCAGACACAGAGAATTCTATTTCTCTGTTTACTCAAAATTATTCTCAAAGGGGCACATCCCAGGCTAGGTCAAAGACATCTACATTGATAAAAAAAAATGAACACAATTTTCAGAGTCTTAAACAAGGAATCATTTACATTCACCATATAAATTTAAGGACCTTTAGGAAAATTAAAGATGGCTATCAATTTCAAGAAGAAGCAAAAAGGCATTAAAGCCTTTTCTTCCATAAAGGTCTTAAAAAATAAATCACATGCTTAAGAAAGTCACACCTATTATAGATAAGCTTGTGCAACTAAATGAATTTACTTAATTACAATCCATATGGTAAAGTAGAGACAATGCCATGTTCTGCTAATGAAAAAACCATACAGGTTAATTAAAACTGGTTAAAGTTAAAGAAAAAAAATGAGTGATAATATCCAAAATTAACTGTGAAATTTCTCAACTCTATGTTCTGTCCTTTAGTGACTAGAAGACAATACCTGTGACCAACCAATCATTTGTCTCAAACCTTTTGCTATTCAACACCAAGCCACAACATCTCTTTGAATAAATGCAACTGCACTTTAATCCGTTTTACATGCTGGGCTTCTGCAAAACTTTTCTTGATATCAAGGAAAGATCTAGTGTAACACCAACAATTTGCATATCTTGAACACGATTTTGTTCTCCCCCTGCTCATGTTCCATCCCTTCCCCATTCCCTATCCCTCCCCAATCTCAAGACTAAATTTACCTGACAACCTTCAACTCCTCCCAAGATTGTAAAACCTAAATCTGGATGTTGTAATCCCTCCTCCCCCGTGCAGGTGCCCCTCCCCATAACAGTATACTTTCTAGTATAAACTTTCTAGTCTGATTAATATACTGCTAAAGCCTAACTTAGCAATTTTTAAATTAGATTGTTATTACATGTATTTCTTTAAAGCCATATCAAATCCTTTATGGGACAAGGTAGAATATAAATGTTTTTAAGAATTTAAACTACTTGCTTACAGAATGATATTCACATAAAAAACTTAGAAATTTACAGTACAGACATCTAAAAATGAGAACACCTTAATGTAAGGAAAGAAAGTACAAGTTTAAAAGTGAGTGGAATAGAATGTGATAGAACAAACTTAGATAAATTCTGGATTAATTCCTCATTATTAGAACTCTCAAAACTCACTATCAAAAACAGATTTGATAATTTAGAATCTCATAATACCCCCCAATACTATCTGAACTAAGGAAATACAAAAATTCTAATAGCAAGAGACCTTTTTATAACATATTCTTTCCAGTTTATAGAATATTTTTTATGCAAGTACTTACAAGGAGTAATGGCTTTGTTTTTTCTCGCCTTCATTTTAGAAGGGAAATTTTTATTTTGATAAACTAGTAATAAATTCATCTTCTGAATACTAAAGACTAGGATGTACAAAATTTACAAATGTTTTCCCTTAATTTCTTAAAAAGAATATATTTTTAAATAAAACTTATTTTCATGTTACTGTATCCAAAATAAGGCACTTTTCCTATCCATTTTCTACACAGGTCTCTCAGACATTTTAATTTCAAAAAGTCATTTTTAATAATTTCATAGAACTTTATTGAGTAGTTTCACAACTTAAAAATATAAATCAAAAACTGCAA